GCGGCTGTGCAGCCCCAATGCTCACGGAACCCATGGCCATGGCGGCTGTGCAGCCCCAATGCTCACGGAACCCATGGCCGTGGCCACGGCTGTGCAGCCCCAATGCTCACAGAACCCATGGCCATGGCCACGGCTGTGCGGCCCCAATGCTCACGGAACCCATGGCCATGGCCACGGCTGTGCGGCCCCAATGCTCACGGAACCCATGGCCATGGCTGAACAGCCCCAATGCTCACGGAACCCATGGCCATGGCCACGGCTGTGCAGCCCCAATGCTCACGGAACCCATGGCCATGGCCACGGCTGTGCGGCCCCAATGCTCACGGAACCCATGGCCATGGCCACGGCTGTGCGGCCCCAATACTCACGGAACCCATGGCCATGGCCACGGCTGTGCGGCCCCAATGCTCACGGAACCCATGGCCATGGCTGTACAGCCCCAATGCTCACGGAACCCATGGCCATGGTGATGGCTGAACAGCCCCAATGGTCACAGAACCCATGGCCATGGTGATGGCTGAACAGCCCCAATGCTCACGGAACCCATGGCCATGGTGATGGCTGAACAGCCCCCTCCTACCCACAGCGCTCCAGGAGACCCCTTGTCAGGTATCACCGCAGACACTGGAGAATTTGATAGGCCTGCTGTCAATGACCAGTGTTAACATGTCCACTCTGTATTGCTATCAGGTTTCTCAAGAACCCTAGTTTGTTGTGGAGGAATAACTACACCCAACTTAAGGGCTTTGGAGACTTTCCCCAGCCTCTCTTGAATGGTGAGACTGTGCTACGGAATCTTAGGTATGCATCAATCCCCTCTTCTACTCTCAGTTCTTTGCCTGAGACGAGGTGAATTCTATTCATTTCATTTATATGTCTATATCCCATCTTCTTGCAGAGAGGTCTAATAGACATACCTGACATGCAGACTATAGGATGCACTGAAGTTGGCCAGACATCACCACCAGGGAGGTGCACTTTGACCTCACCATCCCGGGGACAAGTGCTCAGCTAGTGCTCACTGACTGACTGTGGCAGAGATCTGTCAGGTGACCTGAAGTTCCGAGCCTGTGCCCGGGCATGGCAGCTGCCTTACACAGAGGCTGGTATGTCATCAGAATGTACAGGGGACCACAGAGGAGGAAGGTCTGCATTTATCTCTAATTCATTCAGAATAAAGTCCCTGGCACAGTTCAAAGAAAGCTCACCACATTTAACTAATGGAGAGCCAGAAAGAGTAGGAAGCCCGCATCAGGAGGGGGTGGGACTCAGGAGGGTCACTGCGGGATGGGTCACTGCGGGATGGGTCACTGCGGGACGGGTCACTGCGGGACGGGTCACTGCGGGACGGGTCACTATGGGACAGGTCACTGCGGGATGGGTCACTGTGGGACGGGTCACTGCGGGACGGGTCACTGCGGGACGGGTGGGACTCAGGAGGGTCACTGCGGGATGGGTCACTGCGGGATGGGTCACTGCGGGATGGGTCACTGCAGGACGGGTCACTGCGGGACGGGTCACTGCGGGACGGGTCACTATGGGACAGGTCACTGCGGGATGGGTCACTGTGGGACGGGTCACGGCGGGACGGGTCACTGCGGGACGGGTCACTGCGGGACGGGTCACTGCGGGACGGGTCACTGCGGGACGGGTCACTGCGGGACGGGTCACTGCAGGACGGGTCACTGCTGTGGATCTGAAGTCTGTGCCGGACTACACCCAAGTCCACTGCTCTCCAGAGCCACTAATTGCCAGCAGACTGAAGAGAACAAGCAGGAGGGGATGAGAAACATATTAGGGAAGAAAGAGGCCTCTCCCCCACGAAGTCCAGCTTGTTCCCATCTGCCTTCGAGAAGGACAAGTTCGAGGCTAAGAAGATAAGCCTACTCCAATGAACCAGGTCTCTATGCCTAGCAACTGAAACGGCCTCCAGCCTCGAGGCGAGCCGTGAGGGAGCCCAGCTTCTGCTTGTGTGGATGGTACGTGCGTGGGCGCTTCTGGAGCAAGGGTCAGCCAGGAACCCCAGCACCACTGGAGAGTGAGCCAGCGACGGACACTCTCCTCCCCTCCCTGACTGCGGGGCAGCGGCAGCCCACTTCACAGGGCCACTCAATGAGGCCGGTATGCAAAGCCTTGGGACAGGATCCACATCACTGTGCCCTCCCACGCCCAGGCCTCCCTGCGCGGCACTGTCCCTGGTGTTCAGAGCATCACACACAGGCATGAACAAAAGCGGAGCTGAGCAAAGGTGCTTACTGAGAGGAACAGGGATGGGGAATGATGCACACTCAGGACCAGTAGAGAGTGGCTACTTTACAGAATGGTTTGGAAGCAAAACAGTGCTAGAAAGCCATCAGCTCTATCTGTAGGAAGCAAGGCACTGAAGTAAGCTCAACATGCAGCCCCACAGGGCGGAAAGCCAGGCCGGCAGGGAAAGAGGGCTGCCCGTGCTCACGCCTCACGTGATTACTTTTCTTAGCATACACGGAGAGCACCCCATTTCCACACAGAAGTCCTGCCGCAGGAGCAGAGATGTAGTCTGCTCTGGAGAGCTGAGTGACCTAGTGCAGGTAACGCCAGCCCCTGCTGTGCTCCCAGGCCGGCCTCCACAGGAAGCTGAGCTCTGGACCTCGCCTGAAGGACCTGTGAGCACACTGGATCACAGGCCTTTGATACATACAGGGAGACCAAGGCATCACTGGCTACCATGAGCCCCATCTGAACTCTGCTTGCTGGAGGGCTGAAATGGGCATGAGGGCCATCCTGAGTTAGGACTTCAGACTGCTGCAAATAAAGCAAACAGTAACAGTTGGGTACCGGTGGCTCATACTTATAACCCACGAGACTGAGATCTGAGGATCATAGTTCAAAGCCAGCCCAGGCAAGAAAATCAATGAGACCCATATGTCCAATTAACCACCTTTTGGTAGAGATATAGTTCAAGTGGTAGAGTGCCAGCCTTGAGTGAAAAGGCCAAGTAAGAGTGCAAGGCCCCAACAGAGCAAACCAACCAGCGGACAGTGAGACAGGCTCAAGGTGCACCCCCGAACGCCTTTCCCTCGGCAGGGGAGGGGTGGCGCCAGCTCTAGTTCTGCAGAAGAGACCACCGAGTGCAGGGGTCTGCAGCCGTCTCCAGCACTCCAGCAGGAAGTGCTGAGAGCCCTTCTTCCTGAGCCTCCTCATTGCCACTTTACACCTCAAAAGGCAACACACACCCCAAAACACTGCTGACTGCCTCTTGTTCCCTCCAAACAGTACCTTTTATGTCCCTTGTACCCACTGACCTAAATTTGTAGAAATGAATCCCAGGTCTAATGACAAAACTGTGCCACCACCAGAGAAAGCGAGAGCACTGCGGGGGACACCAAATGCACGCTCACTCGAGAACGGTGCAGTTCGCACTATTTTAAAAGAAAGCAGCAGCATGAGTCGCTGATCCTGGGGCATTCAGCCAGGAGAGATGAAGGTGTACATTAGATGTACATGTGACATGTGACAGGAACATCAGCTTTGTTCCTGACTGCAAAACTGGGAGAACCTCAACATCCTTCACCTGGCACACAAAGTAAAATAGCAACTACAGGGGTTGGAGGTGTGGCTCAGGCGGTAGAGCACCAGCCAATGAGCAAAAACATCAGATACCAAATTACAGACCTGGTCTTGTAAAAGAAAACAAATGTGGGATTAGCACTGGTCAGGACAGGGCTGGGGGAAGAGGGGTGCCTTTACCTGTAAAAGGCACAGGGGCCCCTGGATGGCTGCTCTGCCTGGTGATGGGACCACACACATGGCAACAATGAACAGAGCTGAGCCCTCGTGTACCTGGGCCTGAGAGAACTGGCCGGGCAGTGGCACACACCAGCCGCCTCCTGCTGGAGCACCATTACCATGGGCAGAGAGGTCACGGGGTCCCATGTACTGCGGCAAACCTACAGTTACTTCACAGGAAGACACTCAACGGCAGATGGGAAGAAAAAGAATATGCAATAGTGAAGTAGGTAGCAGGAAAGATTTCAAGAAGGCTTTGCACAAAAGCAGCAAAACCCACACAGTAACACCCAGGTGCATCTGGGGCCAGCTGGTCTGCGTGTGTTTAAATACAAACAGCAGTCTGTCATTCATGGATGCATGGACGTGTGGACGACTGGGTGTGACACGCAAATATCAGGTCCCCACCAGGCACGCGAGCACAACGTGCCCTCCTGGACAGCTCTAGTCTCCAGGCAGCTCCGGTCTCTGCACTGCTCACATCACGGTACTGGCATCTCTACACAGGACCTCCACCTCCCGCCCAGCCTGTGATGGCTAGCCTGTCCTGGGGCTCCCCTGTGTGCCCAGTGAGCTCGGCCTTGGAAACATGCGCGCATATACAAGGGTCTGCTTTAGGAACTGGCCAGGGTGTGGAACGCAGACGCTGGGGGGGCTATATGATTTGACAGTGGTTCGGCACAGTGTCGAGGCTATGCCTACTGGGGCTTTGGAACCCAGTGGCCTCTGTAAGACCAAGTAACCTCCCACACAGGTCCTCCGTGGGAGGACGTGATCACTGGCTAGGTGGGAGCACCAGTCATGAAAACAACTGCCCCCAACTGCAGCCAGACCGCAGCAACGTTCACAATACTACTCCCAGGCCCAGACCCACAAGGGAGCCCTGTCCTGGAGCCTCCGTGGGTGGCAGTCACGTCTCCCTGTGACTGACAGGAGGATAAGGCAGGAAGAAGACCCGGAGGAGCTGGGCACGCTGACGTAGCAGATCATTTGTCACCACTCCATCAGGCGACCATGGGAACACTCTCAGATGAGGGGGCGGCTGGAACCCAGGCCCGCCACGACACCTGCAGGTTCCACAATGTGGCTACCGTAGGAAACATGGGGGACAAGAGCCCAAACCGACATGTGGCATGCTCAGAGAGACAGGAGCCCTTGCCAGGGAGGGAGGGCCCTGCAGCACCGAGCAGCCTGCAGGCTCGCTCTGGGCGTGTGTACACGCAGCATCCTACCAGGCCACGCTGCTCTGGGCCCCGTTGTCAAGGTGACAGAGCAGCTCCAGGGTCTGCGCGGTGCTGGCGGAGTCGTCGGGAGACTCGTGGTTGCCGGATTCCAGCTCCTTGGGCATCCTCCACACGGCCGCACACGCCAGGACGCGGCTGTCTGAAGCTGGAAAACAGAGCAAAGTCAGCAGGGCGCAGTCCGCAGCCAGCACATCGACACTCGGCAAGCCACAAGCCAGGCACATCTGCTCCATAAAGCACTAGCGCTGCAGGCGGCCTGGGGCCGGGGCCAAGTCCACACACACAGAGGCTCGGCCTGGGTGGCCCCGAGCCCACCTGTCCAAGTCTTACAGACCAACATCCAGCGTCAGAAGAAGGTGTAATGGCCTCAGCAATGTCCTCCCACTCTTCTTCAGCAGTTCTTCTAAATGAGGGCAACATGGCGACACACGCTATAATGACAGGCATGTGTCTGGGGTGGCAGCAAACAAGCTTTTCACTCACAACTTTAGGCCCGCGACTTCTCCGTGTGGAAACGCTGCTGCCGGTATTACATTTACCTCAGGTGGCGAGGAGTGCGGGTACAGGCAGGACCACCGAGGTGCCACACTGGCAGCGGAGGCCAGCCCGGCCTCGCAGCTCCCCTGCCATTCCCAGAGGCTCTAGGGGAGGAAGTGACTCAAAGCAGCTGAGAAGAACCAGCCAGCACTCTTCAGGGTGTGCAGGGCTCCAGGTCTCAGCCTCTAGCCTCTCAATGTGACCATTTGAATTCCTAAACAGAAACACTTTCAAACTTTACTTTCCATTGACTTTTTTTCACATGTGAAACACCCTCCTTTTCCTCCTAACGACAACCTCAACGAATGTTCCAAAATTAAATCATTGACATGAAGAATATATAATAATGTTAGAACAAGAAAGAAACACTACTGAGCAGTATTGCTTACATTTCCCACAAGAAAAGAAACCACACATTGCACTTCATTGAGCATACCACAAAATTAAGAAAAGGGGAGGGTCAAAGGGAGGTGAGGCCACCCCATTTGTTAGGAAATGGAAAGACTTGGAAAAATTATATTAAGTGAAGTAATCCAGACCCAAAGAGGTTCCATGGTTTTCCTTGTCTGCAATAACTAGTATATGTCTAGGACAAGCAGAAAAGGTCAAAAGCTATGTACATATGACCAGATAAGATGATGCTAAGCAAAATGAACCCCAAAATAGGGACACGAGGTTTTATCTTTCTTGCTGTTGTTTTTAATGTACTTATAATGTACTGTGTGATTGGTTTCTTTTGTATGTTCTTCCCTCATGGTACAACCCCTGTTTTTACTGTATTTGATTCCAGTGCCCTGCATCTTGTATGTACATTTTTCTAATTTGGGGAGGGGAAGGGAAATAACAAAATGCTGAAATAAGGATACAGGGTGACCCATTGTAACAATGAGATGTACAAGACACTATGTTGAAAACGAACTTTACCACTTTGGAGGAGGGCGGAAGGAGTTGGGGAGGTGGGGAGGGAAGGAATGGTAGGGGAAAAACAAAAGAGGGGGTAACAATGCTCAACAGAAAATGTACTCACTACCTTACTCATGTAACAACGAAAAAGGGAGGTAAGGATGTTCCAATCAAGATACACTGTAATTATAAACCACTTTGTTAAACAGCACCTTCTTTGTACAAGTATTCAAAGATCACTTTTAAAATTAAGGTAGCTTATCAGATTAATGAAGCATCTATGCATTAAAAAATGAAGAGATCATGCTACATCACCACATGTGATGGTCTTCCAGTGAGCACCAGGCGTACAGCTGACGTCTATGATGCGATTACCAACCTCACGAGCACCAGACGTACAGCTGACGTCTATGATGCGATTACCAACCTCACGAGCACCAGACGTACAGCTGACGCCTATGATGCGATTACCAACCTCACGAGCACCAGGCGTACAGCTGACGCCTATGATGCGATTACCAACCTCACGAGCACCAGGCGTACAGCTGACGCCTATGATGCGATTACCAACCTCACGAGCACCAGGCGTACAGCTGACGCCTATGATGCGATTACCGACCTCACGAGCACCAGACGTATAGCTGACGTCTATGATGCGATTACCGACCTCACGAGCACCAGACGTATAGCTGACGTCTATGATGCGATTACCAACCTCACGAGCACCAGACGTATAGCTGACGTCTATGATGCGATTACCAACCTCACGAATATTACTAATACTGCTCAGGATTTCAACCAAGGCTTTCTGATTCCAAATTCAGTGCTAATCTCATAGCTATTCCAAGAAAATGCAAAATTTTGACTTACAGGAAAAGAATGACAAATGTCACTGGTCTGTCTCCATGTACCTGCATCTTAACAGTAACATTTCTACCATTAATGTGGAGCAACGTGACAACCACTACACTACAGAAACAAGCTACATTTCTACCTTTAGGTATGGCAGCATCACGAACGATAGCCTTGCTCCAGACAAGAGAGTCTAGCTGAAATTTAGCCACACAGTCTTTCTGTAGAGCGCATGAGGTTCGCAGAGATGTCCTGGAAACACAGAAATCACCTGAGAGCTGGCAGCTTTGAGCACAACACTCCACCACGGGGCGGCCTGGGACCACACTTGGCCACGAAGCACACAGGAGCGGCCCAGGACCACAGATCACATCATCCTCCTTTCAACACAAGCAGAGGCAGCTGAGCTCCGAGGCCTGGCTACCCCTACGCTAACTTGGCCAGGCTGAGCACACGCACATGGTACAGTGTACTTCTGTTTTCCATTCATGAAAATCATATGTACTTATGGCATAAAACCATGCTTTGATCTATATTTCCATCGTGAAATGGCTAAATCAAGCCAATATGAATTGCTTTACATACTTTTTTGTTCTGGGAACACAAAATCTATCCTCTGATTTTCAGAGTTACAATACAGTGCTACTCTCCCCGTGACGTACAACAGACTGGAGCTCACTCCTGAGTATAACTGAAGCTTTTGTTTCAGTGCCCCATTCTCCCCTTCCCTGTGCCATCGCTAGCAGCCCCATTCTCCTCTCGGCTCCTGTCCCGGGAATATTTCAACTTTACGTGTAAGTGGGAGGATCGGCACCTCTCTTTTCAGTACTGAAAAGAGCATGGTGCATGCACCGCACACTCCTCCATCACCCACGGATGGACACCTCACCGAGTCTTACATTGCAACTGCTGAGATGCTTCCATGAATAAGGAGACTGGCCAGCCAGGAAGAAGGCTGCACACACTGCAGCGGGCATGCCAGAGGGAGGCTGCACACACTGCAGCGGGCATGCCAGAGGGAGGCTGCACACACTGACACACTGCAGCGGGCATGCAGAGCAGAGGCTGTACACACTGACACACTGCAGCGGGCGTGCCAGAGGGAGGCTGCACACACTGCAGCGGGCATGCCAGAGGGAGGCTGCACACACTGACACACTGCAGCAGCGTGCAGAGCAGAGGCTGCACACACTGACACACTGCAGCGGGCATGCCAGAGCAGAGGCTGCACACACTGACACACTGCAGCGGGCATGCCAGAGGGAGGCTGCACACACTGCAGCGGGCATGCCAGAGGGAGGCTGCACACACTGACACACTGCAGCAGCGTGCAGAGCAGAGGCTGCACACACTGACACACTGCAGCGGGCATGCCAGAGCAGAGGCTGCACACGCTGACACACTGCAGCAGGCGTGCCAGAGGGAGGCTGCACACACTGCAGCGGGCATGCCAGAGGGAGGCTGCACACACTGCAGCGGGCATGCAGAGCAGAGTCTTCACACACTGACACACTGCAGCGGGCGTGCAGAGCAGAGGCTGCACACACTACACACTGCAGCGGGCGTGCCAGAGGGAGGCTGCACACACTGCAGCGGGCGTGCCAGAGCAGAGGCTGCACACACTGACACACTGCAGCGGGCGTGCAGAGCAGAGGCTGCACACACTGACACACTGCAGCGGGCATGCAGAGCAGAGGCTGCACACACTGACACACTGCAGCGGGCATGCAGAGCACAGGCTGCACACACTGACACACTGCAGCGGGCGTGCCAGAGCAGAGGCTGCACACACTGACACACTGCAGCGGGCATGCCAGAGCAGAGGCTGCACACACTGACACACTGCAGCGGGCATGCCAGAGCAGAGGCTGCACACACTGACACACTGCAGCGGGCGTGCCAGAGTGAGGCTGCACACACTGACACACTGCAGCGGGCGTGCAGAGCAGAGGCTGCACACACTGACACACTGCAGCGGGCGTGCAGAGCAGAGGCAGGCTTCAAGGAGGTACTCCAAGCAAGGCAGATCAGAACAAAAAGTGCAGGGGTCTCACACACAAACCTTACTAGACACTTTGCAAAATGCTACTAAACCAATGTTTTCTAAAGTGTAGTGAATATAAAGAAAAAGGGAAAATTTCATCTGCATGAAAACCTTAAGATTTTCTGAAACAAAATTTTCTTTCCAGAACTTAAAATTGAAAATATGGTGGGTACAAGTTCAAAGTCCCTTAGTGAAAACTGTAAATGTAAATGAGCCCCTAAGAAGACCAGAGAGTCAGAGGTACATGCCACGGGGGCCTTCCTCCCCCACCCTGGAGAAACAGCACAGGGAGCTCTCCAGGTCCCAGGAACACAGCAGGCATCCTCAGACCCCAGCCCTCAAAAGCGATGGCATTTAAGGTAAGTGGCACTAAGGAGGTGGTGGGAAACAGGCCCAGGCACACCAGCTGGTTCTACAGCTCTGAGGGTTTCCACAGCTCCATGCATCTCCTCAGAGCGCTCAGCACACATCACACATAGCTCAGAGACTATGGTGCTTTCAAGAAGGAAAACCACATGGTCTCCCTGATAAGTGGATATTAAATCCAAAATGTAAGGTGATATGACAAAATTAACAAGACTTAAGAAACAAAAGACTTCCACTCATCTGGTCGAATCACTACTAAATAACCCCATGCTGCTGATCACATGTATGGTATATATGTGTACACCAGAGGGGAACCAGGAGGACGGCACAGAGCCAGAGGGAATCAGGGAAAAACCTACACTAGCGGGACCCATCAGCTGCACTGGACATTGACCAAAATGAACTAAGCAACTCAATGGCAGCGATGGGAGGGAGGGAACAAG